CAACTTCAACGATGGCCCCCAAAGCCCCCTCTATGGCTCTCCTCTTCCACCCAAAGAAGGGCAAGAAGGATCCGTCCAAGGTTCCCGAATCCTCCCCATCTCCCAAAAAACCCACAGTCCCGAAACCAAAACCACCCCCCACCGAGCCCGAGGACGACGGGCTTCGCTTGCCCACCGGCCCTTACCAGGAGTTCAAGCTCATGTCCTCTGCACTCAACGGTTGGAAATACGACGTCATGAAGTTCGACTCGCGCAAAATAGTCGATCTTGCGCGCTGGAAGCAGCCTATCAAGCTGAATCGCAAGGAGCTCAGGCACGATGATGTGCCGGTCGATGGTGTCCCTCAGGCCGTGGGGCCGATGCTTGGGCCAGACGGCAAGCCCGTCATCGGTATCGATGGAAAGATGGTCATGGTGGATTCGGAGGGACGGCCGATACATGCGTCGGATGGGGCCTCGGGGAGCAGCGCGAATGGCAAGGGAAAAACAGCGCCCGCCGCGGCAAATGGGAAGAAGCGGTTCCAGAAAAAGACGAGGCAGGTGTACGTTGTGCCAGAGGAGGTGCGCCAGCTACGAAGAGAGGAGCGGTATCCGTGGGTCTTGGAAGACTCATCGCCCACTAAGGAAGAAGTGTGGACTGCTCAGATGGAGGACGTGGCGAGGTCTGAGACCTATGCGCTCTTCATGCCTGCCATGAACGATATCTTCAAGTTTGTGCCGACACATCGCTGGTACAAATTCCAAAAGAAGATGAAGCATGATCTCCCAACGGACACTGCGAATGTGGAATCATTGGTGGCGGATGTTCATTGTAATCTACGACATAATTATGCTAATAGTTGCTTTTTTGGGCGCAGTATAACCAACGCCAGAAACGAGGAGAGGCGTGGATCGCATCACGCAAAAATATATCTGCACAGACGGCTGCCATGTTCAAAGCAGAGGCAGAAGGCCGTACGATAGAAGGTGGACTCGTTCATAGTTCTGGGCAGAGTCTTGGTCCCGGTGGACGTAAGCTCAAGACGGTGGATAGCGGCATGAACGGCCTGTTCGACGATGACGATGACGGAGACACCAAGAAACGCCGGGAGAAGGAAATGGGGGAAGAGGGTGACTTGGACGAACAAGTATACGAGGAAGACTTTGCTGACGATGAAGAGCCGATGGAAGTAGACCGTGACGACGAGGAAGCTAAAGAGCTCGAGGTCAGTTCATCCTCGTCGTGTTGGTATTCTAGCTGCTCACCATCATTTCAGGAGCGCCTGAAGCGAGAGTACAAGGCTGCTAACAAACAACGCGAGGCTGGTGTCGACGAATCTGACGACGATACAGCACTACCTGGAATGACAAAACAGGCCAAAGCTATGCAGAAACTAATCCGTAACCGTGAAGGCAACGATGCATATGACAGCGACGAGGAGGATAACCCATATGCGAGCTCGGCGCGTCTTGAAATTATTCCAATCTGAGTGATTGTCTAAATTTGACTCTAGGTGGAAGAAGAAGAGGAAGAACCTGTCGTTCAGACAGGTCCTGCTGTCCAGTCTCAACCACAACAGGAGGACTCTCGATCTTCATCACAACCACCAAAAACTAGTCAAGCCCCTAACCCTGCCCGCCCTCAATCGAACGCAAACTCTAGGGCCGCATCTCCCGGGGCCTCGCCAAGTCTTGGTGGACATTCTGTTGTCGCCAAGCGGGCTACAAGCCCAAAGCCACCCAAGCCTAAACCTCATGTCAACGGGGGAAACTCCCCTCTTGGTAGTCGGGCGACAAGCCCCGTTGCGTCTAATAGTCGCGCTACAAGCCCAGTTGCCGGCAGCCCATCCGGTAGCCCACCAAAGCCGAACAACAAACGTAAGGCGACTGATGAAATTCCAAATGGCCCCTCTGCTACAAATGGGGTAAACGGAACTCAAATACCGAAACCCAAGAAACGCAAAGCGGGGGTTGCGCCCGTCAATGCTACGCCCGAGCAGCTGAAGGCGATGTTGATTGAATGGCTGGGAAGTACGCAGAATGCGACGACTCGCGAGTGCATTCATCACTTTACGCCTTACCTCACAGACGCCGATAAGAAGACGCAGTTTTCGGGATTGGTTCGGGATGTAGCTCAGTTGAAGGGTGGGGTGCTTGTTTTGCGGAAAAGGTTCCAGGAAGGTGGTTCTGCTGCGCCATCACCAACACCTGTCAGTTGAGGAGGTAATGGTGGACGTATTGTTCATGTTTCCGATGATTAAGGAGGACGCGTATGTCGGATAGTTTATGTTTTGTGTTATCGATGCACAATTGTTGATCCAGTCGGCACATGAGTGGTTTGCGGCGAGTGAAGCCCGTGATAAAAATAAACATGGCTTGCCTAAATGGAGAGAACGAGGAAATAGTCTGCCGGAAGCTTGAGAAGGCAGTTTCGAGAGGAAAAACAAAGGACTTGAAGGAAAAAGGAAATGGGAGGCATGTTGATCGGGAGCGGCAAAGTGATCAAAGGAACTAAAGATAGACACCAGATCCAAGAGATTTGCTAGGAATGCCCTTGACTCCGTCAGGCCAGGACCTTTTAGCGCCTTAAGTAGAGAGTTGAGTCCCCTTCGGCTCGCTCTTTGCGCGCCTTCTTTTCACTCCCATTTTTCTTTCCATCCTAATGCTCTGGCACCGACTTTTTTTCGCCTTTCCTTTGGCGCACGCCGCTCGCTTTCGCGTTCCTCACGACCACTCTCATTCGGTTGACAAGCGCCTTCCAACCTCATGGTACCAGCCCGAGGATCATCCTGTCCACGCCTTGTTCAAGCGTGACCAGCCAACCGACGGTACCAACTATCCTCAGGTCGGCACACCCAGTACGCCCCGCTATCTCTAAAAAAAAGCTTTTGATCCGTAATTCTCAACGCTTTTTGGCGATTTAGCCTGGTCCTCAGCCTATCCCGCGTCCTCGCCCGATGTCAATGCACTCCCTCAACAATGGGTCGACGCTCTGAACGATGCTGTAGAAGCCGGGAATATACCCAATATTCCCCAGAGCAAAAACACGCCGAACACCAATCCCGTGTATCCGATGGGCTATAATCCCAATGGCGCGGAAATCTGCTCTGCAACCTACAAGTGCCGCATTCCAGGAGACATATGGGACGCTCCTGCCAATTATTTCGGTATCTCCTTCGATGATGGCCCTACAGAGGTGCGTTCTTTAATTTCGGTCGACATCATCGTACGTAAAATTAATGTGTGGGTGAGATCAGGCATCGCCCCGGCTTTTGCAGTTTTTGGAAGCACATAACCAAAAAGCGACGCATTTCATGATTGGCGTCAATATCATAGAAAATCCACAACTTTTCTTGGATATTTTCCACGCAGGCCATGACATTGCTGTACACACGTGGACACATCCCTACATGACGACCCTCTCTAATCTTGAGGTCGTGGCTCAGGTGAGGATCCCTTCGAAAGCTTCGACTTCTATGTCCGAGGCTAACCTTCATCGAAAGCTTGGTTGGACAACGGAGCTTATCAGAAATTCTACCGGGGGACGTGTGCCTAGATACTGGCGTCCTCCTTATGGCGACTCTGATATGAGGGTACGTTCAATCGCAAAAGAAGTAAGCGTTCATTCGCGCTCCTTTCGCGTCTTGTGCCGAGCTCATTGCCCTAGGTCTTCGGTCTGGAAACAGTTCTTTGGAACCATGAGTAAGGACATGTTTTTCTCGCGTCCAATTTTTCCATAGAAATCTAATATCTACTCTTTCAGCACGGAAGATTGGAGCCTGACCTCCAACGGTACCACGCCACAGATCATCCATGATAGCTTCGTCCAATGGCTGTCTGGTAGGCGGTACCTCATATGATCCGTACAACTCGGTATTCTGACTTTTTTGTCGCCCAGGGCCGAAAGATCCTGGGTTGATCACTCTGGAGCATGAGTTGAGCGATATGTCTGTGAATGCATTCATGGACGCCTGGACCTTGATTGGTCCTGCAGGTTGGCAAACTGCTTCACTCGCCAGTATCATCGGAGACAGTACATACCAGAACTCTGATGACTCCGACTCGCCGGTTACTGCTGACAGTGCAATCGCAGATACTACTGCTGCCTTGGTTCCTCAAAGTTCTAGTGGTACCCAAGCTCACCAAAGTCAGACAACGGCGAGTGGCAGCTCGTCGTCCACCAAAGTAGTGTTCGTGCAATGTTTCATCCTTTGACTTCCTTTTGTGTTGATATCATATCATACATAATTTTAGACTTTCGACCTCAACCGTGTCTCCCCCTGCCTCGGCAGCCTCTGCGGTGGCCCAGAGTGTACAAACTTCGCACGCAGCTCCTCTAGTCCTACGGGACCCATCTTATGCCACATTCTCAATATGTATTGCTGCTCTTATGGCCACATTTTCAATTTTGGTATAAAGCCTTGGACTTATGCAACGGACGCTAAATACAGCCCATTCTTTTACGACTTGTCTCCGACCCCAGCTCAAAGTCTGACAGTGCTATTTGTCAGGTAGAAGAGTTTGTTCTTTCTCGATCTCTCTTCTTTTTAGTTTCGTGTTGTTACCATTACCCTAGCGTGATACATCCTTCCTATCTAGTTGCTACTCCCCGCAATATGTACACACATTCATCCTCAAACGGACTTGTTCTAACTAGCATCCTACCTCACTGATATTGTGGTTGTATCTACAAATTAGAAAAGCATCTTGTGCATTGTCCAGACCCCTTTGTGGATATCATAACAATAACAATCAGCTTTGCTGCAGTATATGTACTGTCATGTACAAGCTTATCTTATGACTATGTATAAACCAGCATTGTCCAAAGGGTAGTTATTGGTCATTGAAACCCGCTTAACGAGGCTTCGAAAGACAATCATTTTTTGGATTTCAAAGGTTAATGTCACCGCGACGAGTGGACTATAATTGTCGGATCGTTCAGACCGATTTTCTTGGCATGTGGCGCACGCAAATCGGGCCGAGAAGGCATGCCCAAAAAAAAAATCAACGATATCCATCCCATAGCAGCAACTTGTTTCGATCAAGTGACCTCGGGGTACCACAAGCTCATATGGGCCCCGCGCGCTTCCAGCTGCGCCATGCTGCTGTGTGATAGAAAATCTATCAACGTATATGGATCACCTAAATTCTTGCGTAAATTCTTGCAATGATTTGAATGGATAAATTGATTTAACTGGATAAATTCAAGTACAATGCTTCTTCACACTTTTGTCCATATCTGACCGTCCTCCCGGCTCCCAGGATTTCTGCTAAATATACCGCATTTACATACGGGTCAGCGCCGATATCATATACATATATACCGTCATTGTATGGAAGTGATGGTCAACTATGAACCAGCTTATGAGATCCGACCATCGGAGCAAACCGATGGTACCACAAATGCCATAGGTTATGGACATGTCGCGAATACTATGGGTAGGTGTTCGCGGAAGATTGTGATGACGGAGTACATGCAGAGAAAGGAAAGGTGTTCATACGCGACGAGATAAAGTTAAATGGCATTGATATTTCGCAAAGGACAAAAGGCATTCGCTAATGTTAGGGTCCGGATACATCTCAAAACAATAAAGCGGCGAAATAAACACTAAAACTGAAGGGACGAGAGATGAAGAGTTGAACTTGTGTAAAAGCCTGGCCCTATATGATGTTTGGCCACTTGAGCTTCAGCCCTTCCAGCCAGCGTAGATAGAGGAGCTCTGCAATCGGCGACTTCTTCGCTGGAGCATCACCAGAAGCTGAACCTATAGAAGACGTTAAACCGGCAACGTCGTCAAGCTCCTCTGTGACAACAAGCCCTCGTGAAGTCATCTCACTCTTGCGGATAATACGTTTATGTGGGAATAGGTTCCGAGAAGTCTGGACATATTGGAGTATATCTTGGTTGCTGAGAACAATGATTAGTTAGTGTGGTTTGATTACATTTATGAAGAAAGCAGTACTCGTTGATGCCAGACAAAATGTCAAGGATAACGTTGTATGTAAGCTCCGGATTTGCCTCCTTCAATTCGAGGAAACCTCGAGATAACAGGCTAAGCGACTCAATCTCCCGTGCATCCATATCATCCCGTATTGTCTGTGCGAGGAAGCAACAATTAACTCTCGACGCTCGGCATTAGCATGTATAGGTTGACTGACATTCTGAATACTAGGGAGTACCACTTCATCCACAAGAGCCGAGCCGGCCATCCCGACTTGGCTCAGCGTACGCCTGTGTTTCGTCGGTGAGGCCGTGTTGCCGTCGTCCGAAAACCGTAAGGAGCCAGCAGGATCGACTTTCTTGACGGATATTATTGTACCCACTTCGATTCCAGCGTCGGCTTCTCGTGATATTATCCCAGTACCCTCCGCCGACACCGTCGCTGAGTAAGATGTTCGACGGTTGGTTCGGACTGAGCCAGTATAAGCTTCCGCATCGTCAGGATCGTCAGAAGTAACCTCCTCCGATTTAAGGAGTTCCGACATTCCTTTCTCCGTAAAAAGTGCATGGGGAGGTTGAATGATAACCTTGGAGTAGGTTGCTTGAGATTTAGTTCTCCCAACCACTTTAGGTTTACTGCCCTTGGTTGCCGCCTCACTATCAATGGACTCGTGAACTTCATTCAAAGTTTCATCTTCCTCATCAGACACCATGCCGAGCGGCACGTCCCAATCCTTTGCCATGGTACGGTAAGTCCCCATTGCAGAGGAAGACTTGATAGTGTCAAAATTCCAGTCGCTTCGCATCGTGTCCCACGCTTGACTCTGCCTGATTGACGGTTGGTACATCTGTGGTCCGCCTTTACCCGGCGAACTTGCGCGATAATCTTGATATCGTTCAATAAGCTCTGTTAGATGTGAAATTTTCTGAGCCTCGCGAATGAATTTGTGTTGCAAAAGCTCATTAGCCGTTGGTCGCTGCATAGCGACGTTCGTCAGTTAAGACGGAGGCATGAGCATGCATAACTTACTGCACTTGGGTCTTTCGTTAGACACTGTGCCACGAAGTCCTTGAATTCCGCTGAAAACGAGCCCTCTAAGACAGGAGGCTTTGCTTTAGGGATGAGGAAGAGCACACGCATTGGATGGTACTCTGCCAGTGGCGGCTCTCCTTTAGCCATCTCGATGGCCGTAATACCCAGACTCCACATATCTGCCTTTGCATCATATCCCGCCTGACGAATCACTTCTGGTGCCATCCAGAACGGAGTTCCTACGAAAGTATGTCGCAAAGTGCTCGTAAGTTGTGCTGCGACTCCAAAGTCGGCCAGCTTCACTTCCCCAGATGATGAAAGTAATATATTGGCGGCTTTGATATCACGGTGTATCGTGCCCTCAGTGTGGAGATAGTTGAGACCTAAAAGCAGTTCACGGCAAATCACTGCAATATGGGCCTCAGAGAAGTTGCCCGCTTTCAGAAGGTCCAGACATGAACCCCCTGCAAGGAATTCCATAACGATCCAGAGCTTGTAGGATATAACGAAAGAACCATAGTATCGAGTGACGTATTCAGAATCACATTGAGCCAAACTCGCGATCTCTCGTTGGATCTCAGAGATATCATCGTCTGAATCTTCCAGATCTAAAAGGAAAATAATTCAATCGCGCCATCAGCACGAAATTTTGTGAAACGGACCAATCTGCTTGATGGCTACAATCTGTTCAGTCTCATTATGTATTGCCTTGTAAACCGTTCCAAAGCTTCCAGTTCCGAGCTTCTCGAGCAATGTATATTGGCTTGCAGGATTGTTATTTGGGATCGAGTAGGGCTCTTGGTGGCGGAGCTTGTTTTCAGCCTGAGGAAACGAAGGAGAGTGAGTAAATACTTTTGGCTGCGAATGGGAGACATTGTCAGTATGGATGAGGTTCCGGAGGCGCGACATGATGGTTTTGGAGATGTAAAAGCTTAAAAAAGACAAAACTTGGCCGTATGGCTTCAATACATGTGCAGGTACCATACGGATGGGAAATACCAGCCAATCGAAAGATGCGGAAGTAACGAATGGATGTTATCTATCGTTTTAAGTATAAATTGGACTCACCATGAATCGTTAAAAAGTCGTAAAAGTTCGTAATGAGTAGATACAAAGTATTCTCGTCAAATCGCAAGGCTGCAAGAATTCTAAAAGAACGTTCACGCAGGGCACACTGAACAACGTATACCGACGAGAAAGTGACAGAATGACACGATGGAACAACGCTGGGATTTGAAGCTGATTGAAAGCTTGATCTTGAGCGCCTTGTCGCCTTGTGTTAATGGCGTCACCTGGACCACACGAGACGATTTTTCTAACGACTCTAATGGCGCTGTCGTAAAGATTGAATAGATTAGAGACAAAGTTGTTGACGTCGTAAGCACTGTTTCGATGTTTACCAAATTAGAACAGGGACGGCTTGGGGGAACCAGCACATGATGTATAAAATCCCACTTTTCTCACGAAATATCAGACGTGCAATTGCAGCATATTGGCATGAGCTCATAACCATTGAAGCGGCATACAGAAAACAAATATAACAAAGAAATCTCCGGCATGAATGCGACTAGCTCCAGTGTACACCAAAGGCCTCGCTCATGCTTTGACAGCATACTTCCTTATAGGGAAGTTGGCATCCTTCTTTCTTTGCTTGAGGGTTTTGAGGGACGCCTCATGCTGTGAGAGAAGCTAATCAGTGAAGATCCAAATTGCGATGAAACCTAACGCTCACTTTGGTCAGACGCCGCCTAATCGCGCGTGTCTTCTTGGGACGGAGGTCAAGAGGAAGGTAGTTCTTGTCTTTGTAGTACTCCCGAAGGTTTTGACGGGCCTTCTGGTTAATCACGGTCAGCACTCGAGCGATTGATTTGCGGACGGTGGCACTAGCAGCTTAGATGAGACAGATACAACAGAAACAAGGTCCGTACTTACATCTTTGTAAGTTTCGAAGCTGAACCTCCGGCGATTTTCTGTACCCGCAGAGTCAGGAGCTCAGTCTTCAGCTCCTGGAGCTGCTTGTGCAAGTCATTCTTCGACCTAGTTTCAATCATGTTAAGCAACATCTCCTTCGGTCCAATGACTCTGAACTGCGCACTTGGATTGGAGTTCGTAAGCCTTGACTTTGCCGGGCATTTTGGTGGTGGTGAATCTGAGAAAAGCGGAAACAGAGTCAGACAGATCTGAGCCAGCCAAAGAATGGAAAAAAGCAAAGTTACCTTGAGGAGCGTCCGTAGCGATCACCAGACTTGGACAGCACAGGTTTGTGTCCCAAACCTTATTTCGAGGAACTGTATCGTCGTTCTCACGGTACATTACATACACACACTAAAGATCTAATCTGATCTACGAGCATTCCTCTCTACCAAACTCTCGAATTTTACCAGTTCACCCCCAAAGATGTCCAGTGCACTGTGGGAACATCTGGGTGAGATGCTTTACTTGAGGATTAACGGACACACCTTCCATATGTGAGATCAACGCGCCCTTCAGATAACTGTTCTACCAAATCAAGATCCCCAATATCTACGGCCAAGGATATCAGGGAATCTGCACTTTACAGAATTCTCCAACGTACCCTTTGCACCGCCTGCATAGGTTGTAGGTATTCGTACCCATTGGCCGAGTTCTGTGCGATCTGAGTCGCCGGACACTTTCATTATCACAGCAAGCTTACTTTTAACCAGTTCTTCATCAATACCTTGACACAGACCCTCCACGTCTGCTGCGTGGATAAGGAACTCGCTGCCAAGTTGAAGTCAGAACATTGAATGAGATGAGGTTTTATATGAGAAACCAACCTGCAGTATTGGGATAGCTCATGGAGCGACTCTGGAGGATGATAAGTTGACGGTTCCTTTCGGGCGAAGCAACTTGCACAAAGTACACACCTTCGGATACTTCCATGTCTGTTATATCTTGCCATTTATTCATTGCCACAAGCCATTTCTCTCCTCTCCGTCGACAACTAGATTCACCAATTTGTGATGACACATCAGCCATATTTGTGAAGTACTTGCCTCACATCCACGACTAGTCTATCCTTGCCAACAACAGAAGATATCTTCTTCAAGCGTTCCAACGAGAATTTGGTGCCAGGGAAGAGGTACGAAGTGACGATTACCTACATTGAAAC